CGACGCAGAACTGCTTTAATAACATAATGTATCTGTAATAATAAATCCCCTTTAAAAGCATTAGCCTTAGCTCGGTTTCAGAGAATCATACATTTATTCTTCTTCTTAGCTGTTTTTAACTTCCTTTATTGCTTTGGTTGCTAGCAGGTGGCAGTTTATGTGGACATGAGAATCCACCTTCAGCAGTGGAGAGAAATACATGCACCTTTTACAGGACACAGGGGAATTTGTTCAATAAAACATTAAAAAAATAGATTTTATTTGTTAGCATTTACATTTTTGCTTCATGACTAAATCACTTCCCATTGTTGAACCTTTCAATGAAACCTGAAAGACTGCGGTGTTCCTCAAGGATCAGTTCTCAGGCCACTGCTGTTTGCAAATTATGACTTAATGAACACTTCACAGTAACTCTTCATTTTGCCTGTAGGTTTTAATTGTGTCTCATTTACTAAATGGCTGAGTACTCATTTGCACAGTCCAGATTTCATCGCGCGATCTTAGAATTTCAATTGCACGATACTAAACAATCCCTTTATTCAGGGGTAATGATGGCATTTCTCTGAACTTGTGCAGTTAAAGCTATAAAAAGTGTAGTTAATGACTTCTTGTTAAGATGTTCATGTTGTTTAAAAGATTAATGTTTAAAGCCTTATTTGCAGATGATGCTGTGTTTTATTTCAAAGACCTAAACAGCTTTAAATAAAACAAAAAATAACAAAATCAGATGTATGCTCGTCGGCTGGCTCCTCACCTCTCTGGTGAACAGCATGGCAGTGTCGTAGTGCTCGGGATGCCTCTGGCTCGGTGGGTTGAAGCGCTGCTGCCAGGAGCAGAAGTTCCTCAGAGCCACACCTCCATTGCTGGAGACCTCCGGTCCAATTTCCTCGTCTTCCACCAGCAGCATCTCCACCACCACCATGTTCACAGAGTTCTTTATGCTGGGGTGCTTATAAAGCTGGGCGGCCATGGACATGAGGGTGAGGATGTAGTGCTGTGGAGGAGAGGATATTTATGATTCAGCCTACAGATGTGTTTGGACCAGGCTGGCTAAACAAACTAAACATACACGTGATGGTAATGAGAAGTTTTTAATGAAATCTGGAAAAGAAAGCGTGTGTGCGTACATTACTCCAGGGGACTTTAATGATGTTTTGAGTCTGCGGGACAAGCTTCATTATAAAATTTTGGGCAGATTGCAAACACATTTTTGCCTTTTCTTACTTAGTAGATGTGCATGTGTAATGGTGTAGAGGGGCCAGTGTGTTGGTTAGTTCTAACGTGCCTCGTTTGATGCCTTCAAATGGAAAAGAGACTTTTTCCAAATGCAGTAATTGCACAAAAATAAAAGCATAAACACTATAAAGTGCTGAGCACATGTGTGTTCTGCAATGGAAATTAAACTGGCTGATATGTGGAGCTGTGCTGGACTGTCTGTTACTGCTGCAGCAACCAAAGAAAAGGACGCCAACATCATACAAGAGGCCAAAGCTGTAGGCAGACAAACCGACATGTATTTGCACCTGTGGCCTGAAATCATTTTCCCCAAAGTTACTTGTCCCATGACACAACCATGGGGCGACTGTGGCTCAAGGGATCGAAGCTCATCTGTAACCGGAAGGTTGCCGGTTCGATCCCCCTGCTCTCTCTGTCCTGGTCGTTGTGTCCTTGGGCAAGAGACTTTACTCTACCGGTGATGGCCAGAGGGGCCGATATGGCTACAACTGCAGCTGCCTCCACCAGTGTGTGAATGAATAGTGGAATTATTATTATCATTAAAGGAGACGCGTCAGGCATTTCCACTGAGCTGCTGTGTCACCGTGTTTCAGAGCTGCCAAAGCACAGACAGTGAGCAGCTTTGCCGTGATGGTGAAATCATTTTTTCTAGGGTGGGTTGATAGTCCCACATTGAAAGGTTTTCCACCCACGGAGCCACATGTTGATTTTTGTCTGGGGCAACCAAATCACTGAAACGGCCCCTATTTGTAGAAAACTGCATAGAAATAAAAAGGAATGTGTGATTTGGAAAATCCACTGCGAGCCAAGTTTATCAGTGCAACCTTCCTCCTCACCTTGTGTCTGGTTGCCGGGGGATACTATGGAGACTTTGGCAGCTGAGGACTTAAACACAAACAGATTAGGATTTGGCTGGTGCGGACTTTGGCACAGTCCTACTTATTACTGGTTCGGCTTTGGTTGGAACCAGCACTGATTTTAGATTGGAAGGAGGACGTAATAAACATTTACTTTAACACTGAAGGTTTTATGCAGCAGAGCAGGGCTGATTTAAAGAATCACGGAGTAAAGACAGAATGGAAAAGCTATTGTAAGCGCTGGGAGTCTTCCTGGTGATGCTGAGGCTTTGCTGCCAAATGGTGACCAAGTCCGTAGGAATGTGCTCAAGCATTTCTTGCATTTCTTTGGCCTGACATCTTTCTGTGGAAAACAGGGAGCTCATCGATTTCCTCCCATCGTCCCTCACTGACAAAACATGTTTTATGCAGCCGGAGAGAAAAACATATGCCTGC